AAAGAGTAAGAGCACATGCCGCAAGTCCCGTCCACTTGCAGGTCGTTCGGCGGGCAGCGGTGACAGGAGCCAGACCGAGAAGAAGGTTGTGTGCAATCATTCAATTCTCATTCAGTGACACAGAAGGCTGCACACTCAAGTTGAATACATCCATATGTCTGCTTGTGCTTCGAAGCCTGCTTCAGAAGTCGTTGTGACTGCTGTGGTGCCAAAAGCCTACACTCTTGATCCTGTGGGGTCCGGCTCCAGATTTTTGTGCTCAGGACTGTGTGGCAGCGATGACAGGAGCCAGGCCCGACAGGTTGTGTGCAATCATTCAATTCGCATCAATTTGAATACATGCATATCTCTGCTTGTGCTTCGAAGCCTGCTTCAGAAGTCGTTGTGACTGCTGTGCGAAAAGCCTACTCTTGATCCTGTGGTGTCCGGCTGCAGATTTTCGTGCTCTGGACTGTGTTGGACTGTCCTGCCTCGCAGCATCATTCATGCCTCCCAAGACTCCGAAGGCCAAGGCGAGCAAGCCTAAGGTCCCAGGTGGAACTGGCCGTGGCCGTGGCAAAAACAGTGGGCGAGGCTCTGTCCAAGCAGCAGCTTGTCCAGAGGCTGATGAAGTGCCTGGATCCCCGATCCCTGGTTCTCCAGGGTCAGCTTCGCGAGTTGGCGGTGCACCGGCTGCACGGCTTCCACCGCCGTGCGGTGTTGATGTGCTAAACACGGAGCACTTCGCAATGCTGCACGACGCCTTGGACGCAGTGCTTCAGCATCCGTTATTTGCAGACATCTTGACGAGCGACCCCTTGACGATCCGCGAGGGTGTGCCAAGCTACGAAAGCAGTCATCAGGCGCTGTTTGCTGGGGCTGTTAGATTACCTTGTCTCATTGCCTGAATGTGTTCGTTAGAGTCAGCAATCCTTATCTCCTCGACGACCGCAACTACTACTTCACACTTCTCAGCGATTGTGATTACAATGACGACAACTTCCTTCCAGCTAATGCTCTTGTACAACTAGGACGAAAACGACATCAGCAAGAGCAGCAGCA